AGTCTGAGCTCAGACCTCACCTGCCTCCAGATGAGATTCCCCTGTTATTTATTTCTCTTGTTAGGGAGGAATTTTACCCTCATTGGGGTATCTCACCAGACTGGGGCTGTGGCTGCCCACAGTCTGGGTGACTTCAACGTCCAGCTTGGGCTGAGTATGCCCTCCACCTAGGCCAATGTCACTTCCCTCCCTTCTGCCTCCCACAGGGCCCTCCTGCTCTCCTTGGTGGAAGCAGGGGCATTGATGGAGGCCAGGTGGGCCAAGCGCAGGGCCCAGAGACTCTAGCCCAGGAACTGGCAGCGTCACTTAACCGGTGTGTGTCTCGGTCCCGGGCTGGGGGGTGGATGGGCTGGGCGGGTATATGCGAGAATCCATGGGGGCACTGAGTGCAGCACAGGGCTGGGTGTGCATCCATGTACAGGTGTGCTTGCATGGAAATACCATGGACAGGTGGGGTGGGAGGAGGGAAGGAAGGATTGGCTATGGCGATGAGCTCCTCTCTCCCCACTCCTGCACCAGGGCCCTGGGCCTGCGGGAGCAGCTGCAGTCTCTGCGGGAGGAACTGGAACAGGTGGCTCAGAAGGGGCGAGCCAGACGTGCTCAGAGTGCTGAGCTGAACAGCGACTTATGCAAGGCTCACAGGTGGGTCCCCTTCCCTGGGTCTCCCCGGGGGACCTCAGAAGTGTCCCTGGCTCTCTCTGGGCCTCAGGTTTCCCCCGTTAAGGTAGGTGGCGAGTTCAATCCATCCCATACCTCCCTTTTCTGAGCGGAACCCTAGGAAGATCCAATCTCAGAGAGCTCTGTCTGGGGCCGGGAATACATAACTCCTGACTTGGGTGGGAGGGGGCCTGTTTCCTGGCTCAGCCCCCCTCGCACCCCCTCCAGCGCCCTGGTCCTGGCCTTCCGAGGCGCCCACCGGAAGCAGGAAGAGCAGCGGAGGAAGCTGGAGCAGGAGGTGGCAGTAATGGAGGCTCAACAAGCAGAGGAGCTGGAGGTGTTAGAAGCCACCGCAAGGGCGCTGGGGAGGCCCAGACCACCCTGCCGGCCTCCCCGGCTGGGGGAGACCTTTCTGTAGGTCCCAGTCTGGCTGTGTCTGGACATGCCAGACAGTTATGGTGGGCCCCATCATAAACTGTCCTGGAGTGATGTTATGTCATGTGCGACCTTGAATGTTGGGATCTGTTGGGTGGGATGGGGGCTGATGCACCTGGGGGTCTGGGCATTTGAGAAAGGCTCCCTGTCTTTGACCTGGCACCATGTGGCACGTGAATGTGATGTCAGCGGGATCATGCCAGGGATCATGCCAAATCTAAGACTGGCTGAAGGATTCGGGGTCAGTGAGGTTATATGGCTAGAACTGAAATTCCAACACTCATCTGTCTCCAGAAGCCCTGGGAGGGCTCCAAAGGGACATCTTCCCTTGTCCACCCCCTTCCCAGGGAGATTCTGGGTTTGGCCTGGTAGATGCTCCCAAGAGGAAAATGCCTATATCCCAGGAGGAAGACTGAGGGCCTAAAGATTCAGGGTGTGGAAAATTAGCCAGAAGAGCAATCGCTCCCAAGGTGGAGGTGGGGGAGAGGAGAAATCAGAGGGCTTTGGAACTTGCATTCAAAGAATATATGGAGCTAAGGTGAAGGGCTTCTGGATGGGGGGGCACAGCAAAGGTAAGAAATCTGCGTGTTTACTCCGGGGCAATGATATTCCGGCCTGAGGGTCTGGATGGCCCCTGGCCAGGCTAAATTCCAGCTTTCACCTGCAGGACCCGGGGGCTCTTAGTGTCAGGTTAAGAGCAGGCAGCTAATTAGCATATCATTTGCATAAGCCACACCTCCTGGAAACGGGGGACCGGGTGGGACGCGGCCAGGCGGATTATTGGCCTGCTCTCACCTCCTCGGTGATGGCTGAAATCCAAGACGGGCCTTAGAAAGGTTTCCATCCCCAGCCTGGTGGTGCTGATGGTGCGGGGCGATTTCCAGCCCGCACCTGTGCAGGTGTGTGCGGTGGCTGCCTGCTGCAAGGCGGGCCGGAAGTCCGGCCCCTTAGGGGCCTGGCTCAAGCTGGTCCTCCTGACGCAAACTCCTCCGAGATCGCTGGGGCTGCTGACCTTCGGACCGTGCAATGTCTCTGGACGAAAGCCAGCTTTGAAAAAAGCAGGGAAACTGAAGAGGGCAAGGTCCTGAGGAGGGTCAGAGGGGCCGACCTTACTCCCTCATGCCAAGAGTGCAAGACCTGCTTCAAGCCCCCCAGTCCCACCAATTTGCCCCCGGTGGGGGGGGGGGGGCAAAAGAAGACTAGGTCACCTGTTGAAGGGTGGGGAATGAGTTCGCGCTTTTGGAGGGGGCAGGGGCGGGTTCCAAGGCCGCCGGGAGCGGGGTCTGACCGTTCCCACGGGTGCCCCCTCGGCAGATGGGCCCAGAGCTCTTTGTCCCCGGTCCGCAGCCGCAGCAAGGTCAAATGTCACCGCGGGGCCGCGGGCAGGGGTCAAGGGGGCGGGGCCGGGCCTCGAACGCCCCCCCCCCGCCAGGAGGGCCCCAGGGGGTTGGGGGGCCGCGGCACTACGGAGAGGGGGCGGGGCGGCCGCCGAGGGGTTGGACCTACCCGAGGTTCTAGGATTTGCGGCGGATATTTCCCTAGTCTCCAAACCGGCCCCAGACTGCCACTTGTGAGCCTCCCCTCCCCCGAACTTGTGTCCCGCAAGCCCCAGGTCCCTGCCCCCTCCCCTCTCCAGTCCCCCTCTGACTCCCTTCCCTGAACCTTGTCTCCCTTCCAAGATGCCCCCTGCCCAAGAATGCTGGAAAGCACCGTCCAGGGACCTGGGACCCCCGTCCTCACCTCCAAATAGCCAGCCGGTACCTCCACATTCCCAGGCAGCCCCAGAACAAAATGGTCTTCTCTAACCCTCCAGACCCCCTTCTCCAGCAGGGATTACAGGGCAGGGAATTCCACTCTAGTCAGTCCCATGGAAAGTCCTTGCTCATGTCTAACCCCCGTCCTTCTTGCTTCCTGTACTTGCTAAAACTTCCCCCAACTCATACCTGGCCAGACTCTCCCTGGGAGGCCCAGAGGCCCAGGGCTGGGTGTGTGGTGCCTGGCTTTTACAGAACCTTGGTATCCTCTTAAATGTTGCATGATCTCCAAGATCTCCCAGCAGCCCCCGCCCCCCCCAGCCAAGGTGCCCCCTCAGATGTAATCTGGAGAAGGGGATGCCTTTTCCCAAGGCCCCTTCCTGCAAGGGGAGGGGGCAGTGGGGGCAGAGGGCACTGTTTTTCCTGCCGGCAGCTCTCAGAGGCCCAGCCAGGTGCCCCGGTGTCCAGCTCTGGGCCCAGGGCCCAGGGCAGGGCAGGAGATAAGGCCGGCAACTGGACCTGCAGGACTCCAAGGTGAAAGGTCACCATAGGAAGGGCTTTTCCAGCTGGTTAAACGTTAACAGGCCCAGAGCAAGAGGCTCAGGCTTGCCCAGCCTCCAGCTGCACGGCCGGGAGGTGAGGGGTAGGGGGGTGGGACAAACAAAGGGTGCTTAATAAATGCTGGTTGGCCCCACTGGGGTCGAGGAGGGCGGGGGGAAGCTGTAAGCCAGCGGCAACTGAGAGGCTCCAGGGAGACTGGAAGAGACATCTGCAGTCCAGCCGGTGGCCTGGCCAAGCCCTTTATGTGAAGCACAGAAAGAAAAGGAAATTAAAGAGGAAAAGGGGCAGGCCCCAGTAGGGATGGTGGGCCTGGAAGTTCAGTTCCTGCTACCTCTAGCCTAGCTGGGCGGGTGGGTGCCCTGCCCCCAAGAGGCCTAAAATTCTGGCGCGGGGGTGGGGGGGGCCCTGACCTCGCGCCCCCGCCGGCCACAGACCACAACATCCCTTAGCCCTGGAGATTCCCAGCACCAGGTATTAGCCCAAGCTGAGAAAGGGTGGGGTGGGGGTCGGACGCGGCGACTTTCTGGAAGAGGAAGCAAACACAATCCATCATACAACTGTGCAAAGAAATGCCCCGGGGTGTGTGTGTGTGTGTGTGTGTGTGTGTACTGCGCAGGGGCGTGCCCTCGGGTGCAACTGGCCCCCCATTATTGCTTCTGTGGGGAATGCAAGGGTAGGGTTCCGAGGTGCCCCTCGAGGGCGTTTGAGCGAGGCAACGTCCAAGGCCGGAGGTGTAGGGGAGGGCCTTGCAGAGACATCTTGGCGAGGCTGCGGAAGGGCAGAGGGCAGCGGCGGCCCAGGCT